CATCATCCCTTCCCTGGATAACTGCAGTATCCTCCAAGCTACTCTCCCTGTTTCCCACTACAATCTGTTCACTGCACAGTGGACAGGGAGTTATCTTTAAAGGTGGGTCAGATCATGTCATTCTTCTGCTCAAAGCCATCCATTGACTGACTTCCCCTCTCATTCAGATAAAAACTTAATTCTTTATAGAAGTCCAAAAGAGCCCCTCTAATCTCATCTTCTCCTAACTCTTCCCCTTTAGTCTGTTCAATTCACACTGGCCTCCTTAACTGATCCTCACACAAACCAAGTGCACCCTTACCTCAGGGCCTTTGCACTTACTGTTCTCTCAACTTGGAATTCTCTTCTGACTGAATTCTCTTCTGATTCTTTCCAACAGTGACTTTAGGGCTGTGCTCAAAAGTTACCTCATAGGTGTGGCTTTCCCTGATTGTTTTATATAAAATAGCAAACCTCTTCCCCACCTTCCAGCATTATCTATTCCTTTTGCTCTTCCTTATTTTCCTCTACAACATCTGTCATCATGTTTTATTTAGTTGTCTCTAGCCTCTCTGTCTCAATTAGAATATAAGATCCATGAAGGCAGAAACATTGTCTATTTTGTTAGTTTTCAATCATTAAGATATAGAATAGCTCCTGAATGACTGACGGATAATTAGTTGTCCAAAGAATGTACAAATGAATGAATGAATGAATGAATGGAACATTTTTGCTATTATGTTTTCCACATAGAGAAAAATTTTAATTGCTCTAAACCAATAAAAATATGAACCACGGGGAAGTATAACATGATTGGTATAATACAATTTTTGGAGAAAAATTTTTGAGAAACTAATGAAAGTCATTTAAAGCTGTCTGGAAATTGATTGGCTATAAAAATGTTACAATAAAATACACAGCAATGAAAAATAACAAATTAGAACACGATTGACCTGAAAATTTGTCCACGATATGTTTAGTGAAAAAAATTAAACTACCAAGTAACAAGATTGGCATCATTCTATTTGCTTTGAAGTTTCAATGACTACATTAAATAAATATATGGATTTTGACCATAGAGAGCATAACTTCAAAAGAGCAGAAGTAGGAAATCTCAAACCTAAATTATAAACCCCTCTGTTACTCACCTTATTGAAGTAAGCATTTATTATTTTCATAACTTTTTTTAACCCAATAAGATTTTTTAAAGTATTAATGGGGAAAAGTGTTTGAGCACAAAGCTTTTAATGAAATACAATGTGGGCATTACACGACTTTGGGGTTTATAACATAGTGAAGTCTTAAAATGCAAAATTAAATGATCAAATGCTTGAGCCAAACTTAGGGAAATATGTAGTGACCTCACCTTTAGAAACAATAGGTTAAGGATAAGACATGGTATGTGCTAACCGCCATGTCTCACTTCTAGTTAGTTATCTGCTAAAAATTTATTAACTAAAGGGATTTACTGGCCGGATCACTGCCTATAGGTACAAAATATTTTAACAATGACGCATTCTGCTTCTGTACCCCTGCTTGCTTACCCACCTCTTAGTTATCAGTTAATGAATGGAGGAGATATAGTCTTTTGTGTAAAGATTAAGGATGTGGGGGATGGGATCGAGGGCTTAAAACCTTTGTGCCCCTGCGTCTCGGGGCTGCTCCTTTGCAAGGACAGCCGCCGGCTAATAAACTGTCTCTTGGACTAGAGCACTCGAGTTGGGCCTGGTTATTTTGGTCACAACAAATAATTAACTAGATATATTAAAGAATTTCCATATTTTTCTTTCATTATTTATGTAACTCAAAATATTTTTAAGTAGTTCAATTAAGTTTAGTATACAAATACATCCAAATTGAAAGAAAAACCAATTTTTTTTGAAGAAGGAAATAAACAGATTATCAAGGAACCATTTCTTAATTTTGTTCTGTGGAGGATGGGTCAACTGCTGGAATTATATTAGTTTGGGGACTCTGTCAGTTTGAGTGATCTGGAACTTTCAATGTGTCATAGACAGTGTGACAGCATACACTACTGTGGTGGCTGAAAAATGACTACTTGAGATTTATTACTTGTAGGAAATTACTGTTTGACTATCGCCATGGGAACAAAAGGCTTTTGATCATAGGGACATAACATTCTGATAACAAGCTTTCTGCTTCTGTACTCCCCGCTTGCACACCCCGACCTATAGGTTGACAGGTAGTGAATAGGAGAAAAATAGACCTTTGTGTCAGACAGAATGAAGAATGGTATTTGGGGCTTAAAATCCCTGTACCTCTATATTTCGGGGCTGCTTAATTTTGGATCTGCGTCCCCCTGGCTTGGATCGGAATCTTTCATAGATTCCAATGGCTGAATAAAGAGTGTGATTCCTATGACTTACTGATTCCTGGTGGTCCGTGCATCTTTCAGTGGCTGGCGGCTACAACACTACCTGGTTCAGAATCTCAATTTCTTTAGCAACAAGGCAGTAAGAAAGTACCAGAACTATCTAATAATTATTTTGACATTGTTTAAAATACATGATTTTTTTCCCTACGGTTTTAATCTTGAGATTTGCTTCAAATTTCCATTCCAAACAAATCAAATACTGTATTAAGGAAATTAAATTCTGAACAAATTGGTGATCTCTTTATATAACATATAATATATTTATAATTGTATGTATATTATTATACATATAAATACAATATTGTATATAATTTTTATATATAAATATTTCTATAACATTTGTATATTATAAATTTTATAATACAAAATTATAAAACTGAGTTTTTCAAACTATGGAAAAAGTGAGTTTACACATTGTTAAAAATATCTTTGAATTAAGAAAAAGTAATAAAAGTTCTTTGGCTGTTTGGATTAGCTATAACACTAAAATTTTTATTATTATTATTTACAATACTACAAGGGATAAATAACACGTCTACACAAAGACTTATACAAAAATGTTCATAACATCTTTATTCATGATAATCAAAAATGAGAAACAAACGAAATGTCATCAATAATAGAATGGATGACTAAATTGTGGAATACTACTCAACAGTAAAAAAGAACTAATCCTAGATTTTTTAAAAAGGAACTAATTCATTATACAATATGGATGAATCTCACAATATTATAATGAAGACAGACACAAGGCAGGAGGAAGTCAAACCCAAGGCAATCCTTATTGTTTGAAACCATTTACATGAAGTTGAAGAACAGACAAAACTAATCTGTGGTGATTGAAATCAGAAAATGGTTGGTTCTTGGGAGAGTGTGGATTATCTAAAATACTGGAAAGGAGTACAAAGGAACTTTTGTGGACTAATGAAAATGTTCTTTTTTGGGTGGTGTTTACATGCATGTATACAATTGTTAAAAGTCATCAAGTTGAAGTAAGATCTGCGGATTTTTATTATATGCAAATTATACCTCAATTTTAAAAAAATTACGAAGGGCCATCATTAAATAAAATTTGTGCCATAGTTTATTTAACCATTCCTCTAATGTTGGACATTAGTCTTTTTCACTTTTTCACAATCATAAATTATAATACAACAAATATCCTTGTGCACATATTAGGTTGAACCATATGAAATTACCAATCTTATATTTCTGACCTATAAAAGTAGCAAGTTCATATATTCCAACCTAATAGATTTTTAACATTTCAGATTATTCCCTTAGGTTAAATTTGCAGAGTCGGGTGACTTGTGCAAAATTTATGAACATAAAAGACCGTT